AACGAAGAAATCCATCAAGAAATTACAGCTCTGCAGGATTTCTTCATAATCAAATACTGTCATTAATGTTATGTAGATCTTAATAGAATGACAATTTTAGAAAAAAAAATTTTAATAATAAATTTACATACTATTTATATTCTTAAATAGACACTAAAGCTACTCGGTGTAGTTAAGGCAATTTACAAATTATTAGCATGATTTTATCAGCGTATTATGTCCAAACAAGAGCTATAATTTTTTTGCTTCAGGTTTTTTTAATACTTATATAATATTAGAAACTTTTTTTTTAAGGTTATTATAGGTAAGGCACAATTTTTGTATTCTACATCCCATTTCTTTTTAATAAATAAATATTTTAATATGTAAAATACCTTGTATTCATACAATTTGAAATTGCTACTGACAAAAGTATTAAAGAAAGAATTGGCAGCATTCTGGCCTTGGCCATTGATAAAGATTACAGAAAAAATTATTGAACCATGACTGAGCAACACCCAATATTGAGCAATGAAAAGAGTATTGGCAAAACAATGAAAGTCATTGCCCACTATCTGATAGTAAGAGTATAATGCAGTACTTTATAAATATATATACATATTTTTTGTGCCTGTATTTCAATAGCCTTGATTTTATTTTGTTATTTTAGTTTTGGAGCACTCTATACTTTTTTTTTTTAATTTTATTTTTCCATTGTTTCATTAAGCTTTAAATAAATTTAATGATTTAAAATTTTTTTTCTTTTCTTAAAACGTTCTATGCTCATTGTTGTCTCCTAGGCTATAACCAGTTTAACTCAAAAGAATAATGCAACCTGGTACAATATTATCATGTAAATATTGGTTAATATTGGCGGTAGAATATTGGGGCAATATTGACCAATATTAACTTTTATTGGGGTAATATTGTACTGCTAATATTGGCAAAATGTTCACATGATAATATAGGCGCAATATTGTGCCAATATTGTTTGCTACTTAAGTAATTATTAATCTATTTTATCTAATTATAATTATTAGGAAATTAAAAATTTCAAAGTTACTTTATTGGAATTCCATGCTTCTCTAGGAGGAACATCAAACTCTTTTTTATCAGCATCATAAGCCTTTATAATAAAAAATAAAAAGTTAAATATAATTTGGCAATAAACAAAATTTTTATAACAAACAGTAATATAATTCAAAAGTAGCAACAAAGCTTAATAATATTTACATGTAACTTAACCAAAACTTAATAATTGATAAAGTTTTTAAAAAAAAACAATAATATAATTCAAAAGTTGCAATCAATTAAATAATATTAACATATAATTTATACAATTAGTTTTTCTTTAAAAAAAAAAATACACACAAACAAATATATATATATATATATATATATATATATATATATATATATATATATATATATATATATAGCGATCCAAGTTTATTTAGAAGTTATTTTTACTAACGATAAAAAATGACTCTTAAATTAACTTAGATTTATTAATTTTATTAATTTAATAATCTATTAGGTTAAGTCAATACTTCCTGGGTTCTTTAAACAAAATAACTTGAATAATTAAATTTAACTACTTTTAAAAAAACTACAAAAAAGTAACATTAACATAAAAGTTTTTTATTTCTAGGCTGTTTATTTTACTTTATTTATATTCTTCAATTTATCTAGGCATAGACGCAGCGATCATATAAACCAACTAATTTTTACATACACCAACTGATTTATTAAGCCATACCTGCAGAGTGTACATACATTATCTGAGGGTTTTGATGTGATAAAAGAAAATTTAGATAAAAGAAAATTTTTTAAAATTTTTTCCCATTTGGCTATTTATTCCTTTTTTCTTTTTTTTAAATCTGGAAAAAAACATGATTAATAAAATGTTTATTAAAAAAAAAAAAAAATTAAAGTAAAACAAGCAAACTTAAATAACTAGTTAGATATATTTAGTAACATAACTCAGAGTTTCACACAATAGTGATTATGTTTATAATAGCTGAGGATCGAGGTTATTGCATTATGGTTTGATTGTTTAATATAAGTTATTTAACTTATGTTAAACAATGGCATTTATGACATTTTTTTTTGGGATAAGTTTGCTATATAACTGTCAGAATAAAAAAGTTCATTTTATTCTTCAGGCCAAAAGCATTAAAACAAAATTACTTAAAATTTAATTAAGGATTTCAATTAGAGAACTTTTGATCAAGTTGTTGCAAGTGTAACATAAGTTAAACATGGAACACACCATATGTATTTATTTATAACTTATGAGTGCTTGATGCAGTCTAATACAATAATATATGAGAGATACCCTTAGCTATGAACCTAGCTTTGAATATCTTCATAAATAAGATTCAAAAACATATAGTAATGCAACACTTATTATAAATCCAATATATCATTGACTTTGAAGTGAACTGGATTTATCATAGTATTGTTGTCATCACCTTCCTTAAAACCACTATCATTACCATTCACTGCATTCCGTAATGCACCTCATTTATCAGCTGTTAATTTTTGGTAAAAGCTTTTTAACAACCAAGTTTTGTCTGCAGATGAAATATTTTAAACTTTTGTAACTGAAAGGTAAAAGTCATCAGGTTTTAATATTTGATCTTGTAATTCATTAAAAAAGTCCTTTATGTGATAAGCCAGATATCTGTTATCTTTTGAGAAAAAAATCTAGATGGATAAAAGCTATAAAAATCTAGATGGATAAAGCTCAAGCATTAACAAACAAATAAAATAAAAGAATTCACAGCTGAATGACAAGATTGTGAATAGGTTAATGAAACAAGAGATAATAGCTCACATAATAAAAAAAGCAACCATAGTAAAAAAAATAAAATAAAAAAAAAATAATAAAAATGGATGCGATAGATTCTCATACTTAACATATAGAGGTTTAACTACATCTTCAATGTGTTTTTGACCTTGTTCAAAAAAGAATGGACATTATTAAAAGAACAGGCACAAATATAAAAACAGCATAACATATAAGGACAGATAAAAGTTTAATAAACCATATAAGGACAGATAAAAAGTTTAGCAAAAAACAAGTAAGTTTTGTTTAAGTTAAAATTTACCAGCCATTGCAAGCTTGAAGGCAAGCAGGTAGCTTCTATATACAAAAAAAATCTCTTATCTTACATATCTAGTATTTTTTGAAACCAATTACATTTAAAAACCAAAAAGTAATACTTCTCTAAAATAAAAGCGATCAGGTCCAGCTTCAGTAAACTTAAACATGTCCATATCAGCATCATCAGCAAAAAGTACATAGCATTTTCCTTCAACCATCTGAAAATCAACAGTAGCTTCTGAAAATGTAAGAAAAACTTATTAAGCTCATTAAAAACTATTAACAGTCATTAGTTTTTGCATTGTCAATACTTTGACTGTGTTAACTTTATTGATAGCTCTGTCCTATCTACTTCCTACCTACTCCTTCCTTACCTACTACTTCCTACCTTAACTACTCTTATCCAATGTTCAATATTCCTAATGCTAACAAGAATTTAATTAATATTTTATTTTTACAATTTCTTACCTTCATTACTCCAGTAAACCATATTTAGATCACAATTCATTGTCCCACTCATTCCTTTGTGTGTATTTTCTGGTCTGTACAAAAAAGGATAATACATAAAAAGACTTTTTTTTTAAAAAAAAGTAAATTTCTTTTAAAAAGACAAGAACAAAATATTTTCCTTTCTAAAATTTTCTAAAAGAGTTTTTAAAAAGTTTTTTTCTTTTCTTTTCTTTAAAAAGTTTTTTAAAAGAATACCTGTAAAATTTTCGAACTTTTAGCATTATAGATTTCATGCCTCCATAATTGTCTGTTTTTTTAATTATACTAATAATTTTACCTAAAAACAGGTTTTAAAGATAAAAATAGTTTAAAATAGTTCATGCCTGGATACAGACATAAATACAAAAAAAAGTAATTTATGTATCTGTATATATATATATATATATATATATATATATATATATATATATATATATATATATATATATATATATATATATATATATATATATATATATATATATATATATATACACACACACACACAGGGTGTTATCCAGCCTGATGGCACCGCGTATAATGCGGTATTCTCAATTGGTTTAAAATCCCAAAGGTTTATAAGATCATAGTAAAAAAATATAAAAAATAAAGTCAGTCTCAGATTTAAAGTGTCGCACTAGACTAGTATGCATGACAAAAAAATGAATTAAATTGATTGATTTTTTTTAATGTGTAAAAACGTGTCATCATTAACGCGTTATTAACCTTAACAAGATCATTCATTTAAAAGATTAAAAAAAATTTTTTTTCAAATTTTTATTGATGTCACTTATTCTTGAGTTCAGATTTTTCTTTTTTTTAATTGCGCTTTTCTCGAAATACGTAATTAAGGTGTTTTGAAAAACAGCTGCAGTATACCAAAAACAAAGAAAAGAAGCAATTTAAATGAAAACTTTAGAAGATTGCTCATGATGAAACAAGTTGATTAATTAAAATTAAACATATATAAAGTAGAAAATTTATTTTGATTAAAATTTAATTGCAGAATGTAAGGACCTTTTTTTTTTTTTAGCTGCACCTAAATTCCCAATTTCGCAAAAACGCAGTATGAAATTTTTTACTGGGTAACACCCTGATATACACACACACACACACAGATATATATATATATATATATATATATATATATATATATATATATATATATATATATATATATATATATATATATATATATATATGTATTAGGGTCCTGCGAATTGGCATTTTTAGTTTCGAATCTAATCTCAAATTGAAGCTGTTCTTGATTTAGGAATCGAAATAAGAATTGAATCAGCAATATGAAGAAATCCAGATTTAAGCATCTTTTTTCAAAAAACTACTTGAACTTTTTTTTTTTTGCTTTTTAATTTTTTAGCAGTTGTTTGGAAGCATTATTACAATTACTTTTGATTACAATTATTTTACTCTCGCTGAGATAAATAAAAACATTTTGATAGTATCTTAGCATTGGATATCTAAAAGAACATCAACACTCACAAAAAAAATATTGATTTGAAAAAATCAAACAATTTTTTTGAATTAAAGCGACAATTGATTCTCAAAATCAAATCGATTAACAGGGCCCTAATATATATATATATAGATATTTGTGTGTAATTTAAAAAATATTAAAAAAATATAAAAATTTTGAAGGTTCTTACCTATTCTGAAAGGTTCTACAATATTGATGTTACTACCCTTGATATAATCATTAGATTTGCGATATAGCTCAGGGTATTCATCCTCATCCTAAATATTACCAATAAATAATATTATAAAAACATTGACTTGTATGACTTGCAAAAATGGCTTTCAAAATTTAAAACATATAATAGATAGTGCATTGATGTAGTACTTTATCCAAAACACAAAACAAAATTAAAACTGAAAAAAAAAAATGGTACAGGCCCTTAAACACACATAAAAAAGTAACAATTTAATTAAAATATTGTCACTTTCTAAGAAGAAAAGGTATAGTGATTAAAGTTAGATAAGTTACTGAAGGTAAAGTACTGAAACATATTAAGAACAACTTTCTTAAAAGTTTATGGCGAACTTTACTAAATACAAATATAAGTTATCAAAATAAAAACATTTGTATTTTAGGTCAAGAAAAAATACTATTTTCGTGAGATTTTTTATTTTTATTTAAAAAAAAAAAAAAAAATCAACTTTTAAATACCAAAGTTACTCTGAACATAAAACAAAAACATTAGCTTGAATCCAAAGCATTAGTGTGAATCTAACACAACTACAATTTGAAATACATCAATATTTTCATACTTAGATGTCAATAAAGGAACTAAGAGTATATACACATAACAATATACATATATTGTATATACGCATATTATATATAAATATGTTGTATTATATATATATATTGTATATACACACTGATTTTGAACTTAGAATCAAGTATAGTCATTGTGTTACATTGACCATTAGTCTTAATTTGCAACAAATCTGGTACAAAGTTAAAATGACAAACATAAGATACCAACTTTAACACTTGATTTAGCCTGCCTCTTTTAAGCCATTTTTAACAAGTTGAAGTGTATAGACAAAGTAACAATGAGTTGGCAGGCAGTGGATCAAAGCCTGGCTCCTCATAATCATTTTTTGCAACAATCTTCTGATTATTTTTATTAGTGCTAGCAAATAGATGTGGTAGGTACAGTAGTGGTTACTTCATAAGCAAAAAGTTCTTAATTCAATCCCCACCATGTCTCTGGTAGTACTGCACTCAACTTGTTTCTCCAGCAGCAGCCTTGTTTATCAAGTTTATTTTATGTGTTTGGAAGTCAAAGAGTTAATAGAGAGTTGTAATCAAGGTTGGGATCAAATACATTTAATTTAGATTTATAAATATCAATTCAAAAGCAAATATATTCAATCAGCATTTACCAAATACAAATATTTGTACTTTAGGTTAAGAATTTTTTTTTTCAAAACAAGACTGATAAAATGGTTTACTATATAGAAAAAAACTAAATAAAAGAATACAAAATAGAAGAATAAAAACATGTCTCCTAACAAATATCCCTTAAAAAAATTTTGTTTTAATTTTAGTGTTAAAAATGAAAATGAATAATAAACCCTACGGTATTCCCCCAAAAAACACTGGTTAACCTAGTTTATGGATTTGCAAACACTTTTAAATATATTATTTTAAATAATGCATTTATTCTTAATTTAAAGTAATATTTAACAGTTTCTTATCTTGAAAATCTTTCTACATAAAAAATAAACAAAAATAGACTCATTGTTACTTATACAACTATAAATAACGAAAATGAATAAGTTTTTCTCTTTCTAAATTAATATGAAGTAATTAAAAGTATTTATTTGTTAAACAATTAAAAAAATTAGGACAATATTCATAAAATAATATAAATAAATATTAAAAGTTTTTAATCAAATATAATTCAAATACAAATAAAACAATATAACATACAATTACTAAATAAAAATACATATTTGACCTAAACCTAAACCCTCTCATAGAAACTCTAGAATAATATAAAAAAGTAAAATAAAAAAATGTGCGATAGAAAACATCAAAAAGTTATATATATAAATTTTTTTATATGAAGAGCTTATTTTCAAAATGTGGTATGGGCAGTTTTGATTTTATATGCCACTTTTAAAACTATTCAATTAAAACGTTAACTTGCGCATCAAAGTGTACTTTATTAAAATTATTATTTTTTTTTTTTATTCACCTCCTCAAGGCCGACAAGGCCACTACAGATGAGGAGGTTACTTAATAGTGGTTATAATCCTCTCTCAACTCTATAACTCCAAAATACAAACCCTGCCAAACAAGGCCGCTGCGAGGAAAAACAAGTTGAGCGTGGTACTACCAGGAACATGGTGGGGATCGAACTTGGAACCTCTCACTTATGAAGCGAGCATTTTACCACTACACCACTACTAATATTGTACAAGTTTTCAAAGTTTTTTTGTCGCATAAATATTTTTTATAACTATTTATGTATTATTTTTTCAGTAAAGTTTTTTTATTTAAGTTGGCATATAAACAAAGATTTTTATTTAAATTGGCATATAAACAGAATTGTGAATTCTGCGTTTTAAAAATAAGCTCTTTATATATATATATAGACACTCACACACACACATAAACAAATTTACTTAACAAAAAATAAATAACTAAAATAAAATACCTTTACCACACTTTTGTTTTTCGGAAGCTCAGATTTTTGCTTTATTCTAAAAAATATTTAAGACAATTTTAATTTTATATAAAATTACTTTAATGCAATTTTTAAGATTTAACGTAAACATTTAAACCAGATTTAAAGAACATTTTTTAGCTGACATTTAAACTGTTTAAGAAATTAAGACTTATAGTAAGAGAGATTACACATTTAATTTATAGAGACATTTACTCTTTTACAATTTTATTTCTAACAGGTACCTGGGTAGGAAATTGGTCAGCAACTAGCTAGATATACTTGTATCACTAAAGACAGCAATTTGGCTACAAGAATCACTAGCTTAATAAGCTAGCAATTAGTTTGTGACAACTCATAACAATAAAGATTGACCACAATGACCGCAATTTGACCACAATGATCGTTAGCAATTAACTAGCAAAAACTCTCATTAAACCAATAATATTTATATTAATTTTATTACTCATAACTTATTCATATTAGTGCTATATACCATGCTATTATTACTGGTGCCCTATGCCAGAACCGAATTTGTGAAAATGTTCTAGAACCAAATTGTCTAAAAACTGCTTAGAATTGAAATAGATTTAATTCATTTCTAGAATCGAATTGATTGAACATAGAATAAGATGATCGAATATCATTAAAAGTTTAATGAAACTAAAAACTAAATTACTTTTCAGTCGATCAATTTAGCATTGAATTTTTTTATAACAGAATTTGTAATTTTAAAACTTATTTACTTTTCACAGCCGATTAATTTAGCATCAATTTTTTTTACAATCAAATTTTTTTACAATCGTAATTTTGGTGCATGTGTGATGTTGTTGCAAAGACGACATAATTTTTTAAACTGGTTTTTGTGTTAAAGGTTAATGTGTACATGATCCTGCAAAAAAAGACTTTTATTATTTTTGAAAGAAATATATTTTATTTGTTGCAAAATTTTATGTAAACATAAAAAATCCAACAAATGCATGTAAAAATATATCGAGCTTTGATTAAATTTAAAAAAGCAAAATGGCATACAGAAAAATTGAAGTTGGCAAACAGAAAACATTTCTATATGTTGCAGGGAACTTTGGCTACATCAAAAATAAGAAAAACAATGGTTTTGTGTAACTCAAGTGTAAACACCATCGACTTTGTGACGGAAGTGCAAAAATAGTTTTTTCAACTAATTTGCTTGAGACAATACATGGTCACACTTGTGGAACTAGGCCTCACACAACTACCTTTGCGTGAAATCTACAACAATTACATCCAGTCCTCAACTGAAGATGTCAAGGCTACACTTAATTTCAGAAAGTGTGAGCAAATTCTATAGAGCGTATGTAGAAGTCATTACAGCACAAATCCTAAATCTCCAAATGAGGCAGTTCTAAACATGTTGCAACATAATCTATTTTCTAATATCTACAAAGGTCTTGTAGAGTTTGAGGATCAAGTAGCTTTGTTCTTTTGTTCTTCAACACAGCTGACATATTTGACAGGTAAATCATTTTTAAGCTATAATTCATTTCATTATCAAAATTGAAAAACCTAACTTAAAATAATTTTTTATTAGTTTAGATCCCAGCTATTTTTAAATGTTAATAATTTTTCTTTTTCAGAAACCACTATCCTGTTTGTAGATCCTACATTTCGTGTGGTTCCTGCTATCTTTCATGGTGCTTAGCTGTTCAATATTTCACTGGAATTCGGCACAATGATCCTGACTGTTCTGTATGTCTTAATGACTAAACGAAAAGAAGTCTCTACCTACGTGTTTCTAAAAAGCTACACGAACTTTCTCCAACTTTAGTGCCACAGATTGTGACAGCTGACTATAAAACTGCGATCGGAAATTCTGCCAAAGCTGTTTTTCCAAACATAAGAGTAAGCGGTTGTAGATTCATTATGGCCAGGCAATTCTCAAAAAGATAAGGCCATTGGTCTGCAGGTGGAATACACCAGAAATAATGACCCAATTATCAGAAAATGGTGTTGTAAGTTTATTTTCGCGTGCTTGCTGTCGCCCAATTTAGTAAGGCCTGAAGTTAAAAAACTAAAGGCTGAAGCTAACCATCACAGTGTCATGCTGTTAATGAAAAAATGAAAAAGTTTGTTCAGTATTACGAAAGGTATTGGATGCTCCAAAAATCTCCTGAGATGTTTTCTGTTTATAGCCTGCGTTATCGTACTAACAACATGTCAGAATCTTTACACTCCAAGATGAATTGTTTAATGACAGCACACCCTGGGTGAGCTTCAACAAAATGTAAGTCTTTATTTAATAGCACTTCAGTGTTCTGATCAAATCGATGCAGCAGTTGAGATTCTATTCTGTATGATTTTAAAATGGGAACTTTATATTTTGCATGCTCATTACCAACAGGCACCTGCTTAAGTTAGCATTAATAAATTATATTTGTAGCATGGAACATAATTTTTATTTTGTTTCTTTTTACTTTGTGATTATTTACCAAACCAATAAAATAGTACAGATAAAATGCAATCAATTGAAAAAAATTATTAAAATATTCCAATTCTGAAGTTGAGATGCTTCAGATTCAAAATGGTTCCCAACCTAGAACAGAACTGCGTCAAGATCATCGAGGGCAGCATGAGCGTCTTTATGGGTATTAAGAAAAGCTTGCAAGTGGTGAATGGATTGCAACCAAATTTCTTGAAGCTGCATCATTCCTCTGCAACATTATAAAAATGCCAAGTGATCAGGAAGTTCAAGAATTTATTGAACAGGTTAGATATTACAATTTTTACAATAAACAAAAAGTATTTACTGCATTGTTTTCATGTTAGAGGCTTGTTGTTCTTGTTGTTGACAGGTAGCGACATCTCTTTGTTGGGACAGTGACAAGGAATTCTACTAATTAGATGTTTTATATTAAATCTTTTTTAAAGGAACAAACAGTTGATGAAGAATCTCAATCAAATGGACAAGCTGCTGTAGTAGACAGACTAATTGAAATTGTCTGCAAAATGTGCCTTGTCAACAACCTTCAAGTTGTTGTTTTCCCTTGCCACCATATTTGCCTATGCCAGTGATATGCTGATGCCATTGAAAGTAGTGCTACTAATTACTGTCCAGTATGCAGAGAACCAACAGCAGATGTTAGAAATGTGTTTATTTAGTGTATTATTTAATATACTATTGCATATATTAAAATTTTAATTTATTTATCTGATTCGATTCTAGAAGGTTCTGTTCTAAATGGTGGTTCTATATTATTTGACTGAAACAAGTTAACTTAATTAAAAAAATTCAATCCTAAAAAATTCCACTCTACACAATTCCTAACAAAGAAAGTTCGAATTTGATTCTAAACAGCTTCAATCAACAAAAACTTTGATTGTCTTGTTTTATTTTATTTAAATTCGGTTACAGTATGTAACGCGTTATTACTTATTGCATATTATTAACTTATCTACTATAGTTATAGAAAACTTTGTTAACCAACTTTACACACTATGCTTTATTATATATCGGAGCCAGATTTTTATTTATACCATCTAAACTAAACAGCAAATATAATAATATTAATATTGCTAACTAAAAAGTCAATATCGCCAGTAACCAGATTTATAGTTATGTTTTAGCAAGCTAAAAAGCTATGATATGTAGCTATCTACTAAGTTAAAAAAATTGTTGTTATGTAGTAGCTAGTTACAAAGCTATGATATGTAGCTATTGATATATCATATCAACAGCTTATAAGCAACATTTCAAAGCTTAAAAGCTATGATATGTATTCATCAACTAGCATCAAATTTGTTGTTATGTTATAGTTAGCTACATACCTTCAACATGTAGCTAATGATATTGTAATAATATTACTAGCTGCAAAGCTGTGATATATGTAGCCATTATCTAGCTTATCCATTATCTAGGTTTGTTGTCATGTTGTAAATAGTTACAATGCTACAATATGCAGCTAACATTATATCCTAGTAAACTGGATAACTACAAAGCTACAATATCTAGATAGTGACATGTCACAAAAAAATTGCAATGTAAACTTCAAAAGTAATTTTTAGATTGACCTAAAATCAGGAAGAAAATGCTTTCTGAGAAAATGTCAGTTATAACTCTCATGTTTTTATTTAAGGGGGAAAAAATTGAACAATTTCTAAAGTTAAAAACCTGTTTTAATTACATGTGTGTTTTATAAAAATAAAGCCAACAAACATAACAAACCCTACTTGAAAGTAAATGCATCTGGATCTAAGTACACACAATCACCTAAGCTATAACATACACCTTGCCAAGTTACAGTTCTAAAAATAATATACATATATATATATATATATATAAAATATATAAATATATATATATAAAATATATATAATATATATATATATAATATATATAACATATATATATATATATAAATATATATATATATATATATATATATATATATATATATATATATATATATATATATATATATATATATATATATATATATATATATATTTATGCATGTATGTATGCATATATGCATTGGTGTTTGCATGTGTGTACATATAATGAAGTAAAAATGATAATAAATTACTTAAAACAATGTTCTGATTTGGTTGAATTCTCTGTTTCTAATTCATCACCAAGAGTTGGCTGCTTATACTATAGAATATAAAAATTTATATGTTAAACACAATTAAATTAACAACAGAAAAAATAAATAAGTAAATAAACCTTTAATTTTGTTTTAGTCCTTTCACAACTAGGACAATATTTTTCATCAAATTTTGAAAGAAGAAACTCTGTAGGGGGGTCTGTAAAAAGTCCATCTTCATAATCATACCTTTATAATAACATAACTATATTATATTAACATCTGTATCCTTAATAAAAACAAATTTAAAAAACAAATAAAAATCTCAATATTTACAAAATTATTTCTTTTTAATAAATTAACAATATTAACTAGAAAAAAAAATTAAAATAATAACTTTACCATTTCTGGTAGAAAAGTTCATTGTTTTCTTCTGAAATAATACAATCCTCTTTTCCCCCCTCCATGAACCAGTTTTCACTGGCAAACTTTGAACTGACCTGCGAAAAAAAAATTTATTAAACCTTTTTATACAATAATTTCCAGCAAAAACATGAAATTATTGTTTTAATGCTGAATTTCTAATGCTTTAAGTGCTAACGAAAAAAAAAGCAAGATGGAACTGATGTTGATGGTTTATATTTTTTGGCAATGAACAGTTAGACAGATAATCCATTCATGTAAATGGTAATATATTATTAGTAAGTTAAGAGCTTTATTATGAACTTTATTAAGTTCATAAAAAAGTTCCAAAAATAGTCTAAGGAGAATTAGAAATCTATAACAATAAATTTATATTATATATTTTAAAACTCACTAAAAATTTTTTTATTAACACCTAGTCTTGATAATTTACAATAGTTTTCATGAATGTTTTAATTTTTCAGATTAAATTATTTTTTTACAAATTACATAAAAAATAACATTGTAAAATAACATTGTTATATTTTGTTGACAAGAGTTATATAGTCATAAAAAAAAGACTCAATGACTAAATACATCAAGATTCAATGATTCAATGAATAAATGTTCTGTATATATATTCAAAACAATATAACAAATTTTATTTTTGATTTTAATGTTTTCCTAATCCATTTTATTATAATTAAAAAAAAAAGCTGTTGTTCCACAAAAATTTCGCTTCAATGACAACAATATTTTAAGAGTTTTTGAACTCTTATTTTGTATTGTAACATAGTGTAACAATAAAAATAAAAACAAAAATAATAATAACAATAACAAAAAATAAAAAAAATAAAATAACAATAACAAAAATAATAATAACAATAATAGTATAATCTGCCATGTCTTATCTAAAAAGAACTAAAATATCTGAACTCCAATATTTTAAAACTATTTTTGTAATAGAACTCTTTGTTTGTTAACTAACTTAGAGTAAACGGATAAAATAAAAATAAATGTCAAATATAAATAACATTAAATTATAATCAAAAATCTTTTTTTGTTTGCTAAGCTAATAAATAAGAAGTGTTGCTTCTTTTTTTTAATGTTAATTGCAGCATTTTGATGTGTCAAGCTAATTTCAAAATTTTACAACTTTTATTTGCACAAAACAAAACAAAAACTGCAAATAGTTTTCCACAACAATGTATTTAAGTACTTGTTATCAAAGATAAACTAAAATTTTTGTTGTCAAGAATAAACTTATGTCATTGTTTTCAAAAAAAAAGCTGAAAAATAATTTTAAAAATAAGTTTGAAAGAAAGAAATATTCTTCAACACAATTCTAACTTAAAACTAAATGAAAACAACTTACAACCTAAAAAATAGTTATCATAGAACTTTATGCTAATGGAATTCTACAGCACTAGTCAACAATTTATTATAGATCACTTACATTACATTTGGACATAATTGCTCCAAGTTTGATATCATCACAATCGTCTGATAGAAAAACTTCACTTGGATCACCAACTTCGCCAAGGACAGTTTCAGATGAGCGGTATAACCATTGAGCATGAAACTTTTTATCCCCATTCAGGTCTTCCCACATGTACATCACACGACATATATACAATGGATCAGAGGGATCAGTAGGGTACACTTGCACAAATTCACCAATATTAATCTATGATAATTTATAAACTGATTATTTAGAAATAATTATTTGCTTAGCCTTTTGTAAGACTTTGTAATTAATAATTCATATGAAAATTATTGAACAATATTATTATAGTTTCTTTAGTATAATTGAAGAGCTACCACGTAAAACCAGATTAATTCATATTTAAAAGTTTTAACATATCTTTATATTTTTAATGTATTGATTTATGTTAGCAACATTCTAATGTTGTTAGCATAGCATACATCGACATGATTCATGATTCACAGAAAATAAAAAATGTCATCAGAAAAACCTTGTTACAAGTTTTTATGAAAAAGTAAAATTTGGACTAGTCTGTACTTGCACCAAAATAAGAAATCATCTGGTTTTGCAACACTTTCTCAGCATATTGATAACAATGTATTACAAAATGAACTATTATAATGACTATCAATACCCAGCATTTTTTACTTTTGATATCACTGTCTTTAACTTTATTTCACTGAAGTGTACTCTCGACCATAATAAACTTATATTGCTGTCCACACCACTATATTAAATTTTTGCTTTTATACAGCAGTTGCATTCATTTTCAGTATTATCTGTATCAATAATAGATTCACTAGCCACGAGTGTCTTGTAGAAAAGCTGACTCTGGAACACTTTCCCAGCTTTCACCAAACGGAACCTGTCATTTATTTTGGCTTAACTTTTGAATGAAATGCTTTTGTTTTTAACAGTGATTGGTACTTACTGTAATAACGCACTTTCCTTTTGACTCATACAAAAGAATGAGTATTCTCTTTAGTTCTTGCAACTTGCAGTTGCAATTAAGTTGTATGTTGCTGCTGCAGCTGCTTTGATACCATGTGATACCTGAATAATTCTAACTAACTCGAAATGTGATGCTTGCTTAAAACTGCCTAATTTAACAAAGACCTTACTAGAAAAGTGGTACACCGCATTTGGTATCTTATCTGATCAACACGCTGCTTCACTCCCAATCCATGTATAACAGTAATTTTTTCCTCAGAATTTCACAGACTGCAAAATTGTATAAAGCCAGCTGTCTGGCTTAGAAAGCTTTCTGAACAGGCACCTTAGGCAGAACTTGTACCTGCTGCAGATTGCATACAATCTTGTATGTGTCTTTACCAGAGTTTTTTAGTAAGAGGTAAAATACAACACGCTTCTGCAAGTGAAATTTCTTTTGCAGTTTAAGTTTAGTTACAACTTTTGACTCATCAAAATTTTCAGTTTTTTGCAAGTAGTATGAGCATCTACGAAAGTTGCACAACATACTTTTCTCTTCTTGCAAGTTGACTTTTCTTCAATGAACTGCAAGAAATTAAACAATTGAACTTTTTGTAAAAGCATTACGTATTCAACTTGCATTTGTAATGTGCACTTTGCACTCAGCAAAGTGTCTCGATCTTGAGCTGTCTTAAACAGGTAACTTTAAAACTGCTGCCAACTGCTATAAATTAATAACACATGCTGAATCATGTTTGTGTTTGTAGGTAGTTCTCCAGCCGACGTTTTCAGACAAATCTACTGTGCACACTAAAATACAGCATGTTTCTCTAAGTGAAATTTCCTTTGAAGTATAAATTTAGAAAACTTACCACTTACTTAAAAAAAGCATGTTTTACTAGCCAGGATGATAAATCTTAGAAATAGATTGACAGCAGTAATAAACAAGCACCATTACTTATAAATGTCGAAAATAAATGCATTTCTTTACCATGAATGGGTAATGATTTATTAACACAAGATAAATATTTCTGTCTATGCTAGGATCATAATCAATGCTAATGGTCTTGATAAACCAGATAATGTGACTAGTTCTAATGCAATAAACATTCTAAATCAATTCAGAAAACATGCTCCTTCATCTGCATTTACATATAAACATGATTTTGATATTTCATCTATTAGGCTGGCGTAGATGTATATATAATACATTGTTTCTAGTTTAGAACGTTGCACGCTGGATCTTCGTGATTCGATGCATGGGTTTTGGTTGTGTCTCTGTTTATATGGCTTTGCATCTCATTCTATTATCTCCTAATAAGGGTACAGCTCTAAAACTTAGTTTTATGGTTCTGAGGCCAACTAGTAGTCAGGTTTCCTGAACTCTGTGGTTCTCAGAGAGACTGATTCCTTAAACAGTTGTAAAATATCAGAATAGTGACAGTGCCATGTTGCGCATGGATGGTGTCCCTTTTCGTACTTTTGGTGTACATAGTCGAGGCCACATTTGGAGCCCTTTGTTACGGCTTCAGGTTCATTAATAGTAATGAGACAATTACTTGGACTATTAAACAGTGCAATGAGTACTATCTGTGCTTAGAGTAAAGTTTTTTAACAAATTCAAAAATGAATAAAATGTATCAAAACTATAAAACACAAAAAACCATTGTCATCACCAAATTTTCTAAATCCATCATTCACTAATATTTGTGGTTTTTGAAATAACTTTTCTTATTCTGAGTGTTATCTCTAGCAAAGATCAATAGACCTACACTTGCTTTTTGTGAGACTAATTTGAAATCAGCTATCTCATCTTGTGATCTTTGTGTTGATGGTTATCTTCCATGCTTGGCCTGGGAATTTACATTCGTAAGAATTCACCCATTTGTCAGGAAATTAGGTTTTAATCCACCGACTATTCTTTTATGTGCTTACGTTTAGTACCACTTCACTCAATCACCTTTCTCTTTGTTCTATATTGCTCTCCTTTATCTCAAGACTGCACTCTTTTTAAGACTGCACTCTTTTCGATGTTATTTCTGATCAAATTAAGTTTTTTCTTTTTATACTTCACCCAATATCATTGTTGTTGGTGACTTTAATACTCGTCACACTGAATGGCTTGGCTCTAGTGTCAGTGACTCGCAGGCATTAAGGTCCATAACATTTGCCTTTCTCAATCGAGAAATTTAAAACTGAAATAGTAAACTTTCCAACTTGCTTTCCAAATAAACCAAATCATTTATCTTCTCTACTCGTCTTATGTTTTGTTTCATAGTCAGTGCTCAGTTTTATCCACAGGAGCGTGGTGGCTGTAAAAGGTCCATGCTGGATTTTATTAAAAAAGCCTATACATACAGGACTTTACCATATATGATGGATGTAAAGGCCCATACACGTCTGGTAAAAAAAGACATCTATCTGCCTTTTTGTCCAACCCATATTTTGTGTGCATTTATTTTATAATTATTCTAGTTGTTCCAAAATTATTAATAAATTTAGTATTAACTTCAGTATAAACCTCATTTAAACTTTTTATTTTTTTATACGAAATAGAAAATGAAGCTACTTTAATAAAATTTGCCACTCTTTGAACTAATTCATTTTTTAAAAAATGCCTAAGCATTAAATTTTTATTGAATTAAGCAGCCCGGTTTTTCATCATTTATATTAAAATTGCAATTAGTTACCAAAAAAATGCAATTAGTTACCAATTTAAATTTTCAGTTCAGTATTTGTTTTATTTTTTGTCTCATGGTTTTTATAAATTTCAAACAAATATTTTAACTTTTAAAACCTCTTTTAAATTTATTTTATAAAAACTTTAACGTAATAGTTTTTTAATGCTTCCATAGAAACTAATACTTTTTATTTCACTATTAAATATAAATTGTTACATAACAATTGCTTTCACGTCAAAGTTTTTCAAATAATACGTTATTTATTTTTTAGAATATTATATGTAATTACTTTTATATATGTAATTACTTTTATATACTTTTATATGTCATATTAATGATAATTTATATAAAATGAGTTTATTATGAACAATCATTAAAACTAATTTGTTACTTTATTTAATAAAGTAATAAGTAAACATTTATGTATTTAATATATTTATAATAATTTAAAAGGCATTTTGCATAGTATAGCATTTTTTAAAAAACGTAATACAAATATATTTTTCTTTTCCAATTTTAGTTTTTTGAGCTTAGATTTTTTAAGTTGAAGTTTATAATACAAACCAACAAATTGAGGTTTGTAATACTTCAGAACTGAAAATGGTAACACTGCGCTGCAGCGACTACGTTTTTGTTTTGATTTCCTTAAAATACAACTTTGCCGCCAAGTTTTTGTAACCAAGTATGATTTTTATTTTATTGTTTGAAGAATAGCCATTAGCACAAAATTAAAAATCAAATATTTTAGTTTTATTATGTAATGTTGTTTATTTTATTATAATATAAATTGTATTAAATTATTTATTCAAAAAATTAAAAAAAATTTTTTTCTTAAAAAATAAGAAATTGTTTTTATAGATAGATTATGCTTTTGTTTAATTCTGCATTTTAACTAGCATTTTTGCAAAGCATAAACTCACCACACCACTCTAAAAATGGTCCCATAATTGATAAACTATTACCTCATTCTTCATTATTAAAATCCCCCTACTATCGTATATCTTACAACTACCTTAAAGCTGACTGAGACTCTTTCCATGATTTTCTTTGTGATGGCCCTTGGGTAGAAATCTTTCGCCTTCCTGCTGACAAATGTGCTTCCTACACAACTTCTTGGATTCAGGCTGGCATAGAATCTTTTATTCCCTCTCGACTCCAGGTCAAGCCTCACTCTTCTCTATGGTTTTCCTCTCATTGTGCTACTGCAATTAAAATTGCCAATCAAACTTACTATTAAAATTGCAAAAAAAATTTGCCAATTGAAACCGTTACTTGCATATCTATCAGCAAAACAGTTCTCCAGAAAACAGACATCTGTTTAATACTGCTAGAAACCACTGTAAAAAGGTTTTGTCTTATGCCGAAGCCCACTATTCTCAGGTCATAAAATCTTGTATTTTATCTCAAAAATTATGCTTTTGTGACTTCTGGAAAATCTTTAACAGTATCTATAGTAAGGGCAAATCTGCTTTTCTACCTCTCTTGTATGGTTCAGATTTTGTTACCTCACCTAAAGACAAAGCTGAATTGTTTGCTAAGAACTTTTCATCAATCTTATCTCTTAATTTCACTTATCACATTCTACCTTATATAGCCAACAAACAGGTTGATTCACTGCTTGACATTCGTATCACTTCAGCTTCTGCATCTAAAGTGATTTACTGCTCAGACTTTTCTAAAGCTTGTGGTCCAGACAACATAGCTGTTATAGTCTTGCAGAAGTGTTCTCTAGAGCTGTCGTCTATACTTTCAAAACTATTTAACAAATGCTTATCAGAGTCTTGCTTTCCAGCCTGCTGGAAAAGCAGCATCTGTTAACCCTATTTTCAAAAACTCTGGAGAGCGATCTGACTCGTCTAACTACCTTCCCATTAGTTTTTTTACTATCATAAGCAAGATCTGAGTCTTTAATTAACAAACACTTAATTTCTCATCTTGAATCTAATAACTTACTTTCTGATCATCAATATGGATTTTGATCTTCTCGTTCTACTGCTGATTTGTTAATGGTAATAATTGATAGGTTTTATTGTGCATTAGATAGATGTGGAGAGGCTAAGGCTATCACTCTCGACATTTCTACAGCCTTTAATAGAGTTTGGCATGTTGGTATTCTCTGTAAGTTTTCTTCTTATGATGTATCTTTAAGATTATTGAATCCTTTCTTATCAATCATAGTATAAAAGCTGTCCTTGATGGAAAGCACTCTTGTTCAAGTATTACTTCCTCAAGTATATGAGGATCCTCAAGGTTCTATACTAGCCCCTATACTATTTTTAATTTACATTAACAATCTCTCAGAAATTCTAACATCTTAGGTATGATTTTTTGTTGATTATACTACCATTTATTCTTGTCTTGATAAAAAGCCAACACTCTCTGATTGCTTGGAGGAGACATCTGAGCTTGAGAAGTATCTTATTTCCGCTACAGCATGGAGCTCTCAGTGGCTGGTGAACTTTAACTCAGGCAAAACTCCATTTTTTCCAGCTAATCGTTATTGCAATAATCTAGATCTTCCTATATTTATGAATGGTAATGTTTTTGATGAGTCATCTACCCTTCATCTTCTAGGATTAAGACCAAAGATGCCCTTTCTGTTTTAGACAAGGTGCAAAAACATATTGTAAATATTGTTGGACATGCACTTGCAGCCAACCTCCAACCATTATCAAATCGCCAAAATGTTGCTTCTATTTCTCTTTTCAAAAAATACTATAATGGGTACTGCTCTAAAGAGCTAGCGTCTTTTGTGCCATTCACTAAAATTCATTCTTGTGTTACTTGTCATTCAATTAAGTCTCATATTTTTACTGTGACTGTTCCAAAGTGCTTCAAAAATTCTTATTCCTCTAGCTTTTTTTCTCAAACACTACTTCTTTGGAATTCCCTTCCTTCATCTTTTTTCCTGATTTATATAATTTGCAATCTTTTAAGCTATCTGTCAATCATTTAATCATCATATCAATTTTTTATGCCATTTGCCAATCTGCCATCTTGCTCTGTAAACTTCTTATTTTTTCTTTCTTCCAGTAACTTCCAACTCTTAAGGTGGTTGCTTGCAGCTTTGTTGGAAGTTAGATGTCAAAAAAACAAAAACAAAAAACTAAAACAAAAAAAAAAAAAAGAAGGGATGAGCGTAGACATGTCAAGCCTTTAGTTTTTAATGTTGACAATGGGCTGGTTGACAATCCAAGATATCAGATAGTCATTGATGTTGCAATTATTAACTTTATGAAGCATAACTTGAATGCTTATATGATGCAGCAAGTGTTTTATGCAGAAGTGCTTTATAATATGTAGAATAACTCCATTAAATAAAGAATTATCTAACTTTATTCTTCTCCAGAAACATTTTGATAGCCATCTGGACTCACAAAGGCAAAGCACTAATATAGAATTCAAAAAAACAACTTTAAAAAGGTTAGAGAATATTCAATGTTTAATATTTCAATGTGGTTCCTTTTATGTTGCCTCCATTGATTCTGATTAGTCAGACAAAGGAAAGCCTAAAAACTAAAATTAAATATCAAGACAGTTTCATTTCTACAAGTTTCTTTTTTTGTTCAGTTTCTTCTTTTTCAGATCATTCAGATTAAAAAAAATTAATTAGATTTTTTTAGTAAAAGCATGAGAATGAGATAAAAAAAATGCCTAAATTTAGTGAGACAGATCCTCATGTTTTAAATGAAGCTCTAGCATTGTCATTGTTATAAAAATTGCTTTATATTGTTTAACATGGTCATATAAATGACTATGTTAAACAATATAAAGCAATAAAATATAAAAGTTTAAAACTAAGTTTATAACCAAGAAACTTTTCCTGGTTTTAAACTTAATTTTTAAATTACTCTAAAATTACTGACAACGTTATTGCAGCAATAAAAATTGTCAACTGTTTACCCTTACTCCCCTTACTACAAGTAACAGCATTATCACATAAAGTGTGTGTGAAATGTAAATAACTAGAAAAAATTTTGAAAATATGGGCAAAAATGCCTAAAAATTTCAAAGATCTATAAAAGTATGCAAAAAAAAAACAAAAAAAACAAAAAAAACATTATCTTCAACTCACTAATTCATTGTTAATTTGTACAGATTTATACAACTTTTTTCCTTTTCTTTCAACAAAGTCTTCGCATGCCCACTTTACAAAACTCTAAAATAAAAATTAGAAGCCATATTAAAAAAATTATAGAACCATATAAAAAAAATATTAAGCCATATTTTAAATATTATTTAAGCTATAAATAATTTGCTTTTTTTAAGTCAATTTTATTAAAACAAATTATAAAACAATATTTTTATAAAATACATAAAAAACAAGTTATTAAATTAAGTCTGAAAATTAAAAAAATATAAATTTATAAATTACGTCATATAAAAATAACTTAACAGTGCAATATAACACTGCAACAAAGATTTTAAAAGTAAATGAGTTTAGTTTGGATTAAAACACACACAGAGTATCACTGTGATTTGACGTATATGATATAAATATATAGTATATTATTTGTCAACAAGCCATGAAGTGATTCACACCTTAAGAAAGTGGATTTATTTTTAATGCTTATTTGACAAATTTTCAATCTGTTGTTTTAAACGAACAGGAATTTCCTCGCTGTTTTCACTGTTGTTGTGTTCCATGTGCTTGAGCAATTGAGCATTCAGCTCAAAAACCAAATTATAAAAAACGTACTGCTTTGTTTTACTACGTATTATTTAAATACTTGTGTATAAAGAAGTATCAAATTTTTTAAAAATTTTATAAGAGTCGAATACTGGAGAACAAAAACATCAACCTTAAGATGTTATTAAGATGTTATCCTGTGTTCAACATTTTGGTATTTTAGGGGTTAACTCTTTTATTCATTTTGGGAGATCATTCACTCTAAATGTATAATAAAGAGCAACTATCCCATCATATGATAAAACTTTAAGATTGATCATTTATGAAATAATGAGTGAGAAATTATTATTTATGTACGACTAGGTAAAAAAAAATGTTGACCACAGGGTGGTTTACCCTATATTAACATAGTGTTAATAATAATATTTTGTTAAAATGTTTGAATATTTATATCAATTCAAATAATAATTGATTCAAGTTAATGATTAAAAAATAGATATAATTCTAGTTGATTTGAATGTATGATTAGATATCTAAATTGAAAGCAAAAGAAAAAGATACTTAATAATAATAAAAATACAAATAGTGAAATAATCTTACCTTTTTTTCTTGACCTTTTCGATGGTGTCGAGGAGATAAATCTGTTTTACTTGGTGATTTCTTAAAAATCAATTATAATATTACTATATAATATTAGGTATACTATAATCACAAATCACAATCGTTTGAAAAAAAAGTGCAATCGCTTTTTGCACTTCTTTTTCTTCTTTTTATATATCTGTTTTTTAGGCGACTCAAAATGAATATTCATATATTTACTTATTATTTATATATTATATATTTATTTATATATTATTGTGTTATGTGACTACTCAAGTTTGAAATACATACATACATACATACATACATACATACATACGTACATACATACATACACACACACATAAATATATATATCAAAATTGGAAAAAGTTTTACAATTTTACAATTACAACCTGCATGCAGTTTGTTTTGTCAGTACCATGAAAAGGTAAAGCTTCTTGTACAAAAAAAAAACAAAACAAAAAAAAAAAACACAAGGAATTTCAGATTTGTAGCATTTAAAATAGAGATTGTATGCAGCAAAGCTAAGATAAATGTACTGGAAAAGAGGTTGTCTGATTACGTTTGGAATATTTTTGATAAAAATCAATTGATGATTAATTGATGAAATTCTTTTTATTAAATTAGTGAATTTAATTTTTATGAATTTTAGTTTGTGATAAGTTAGACAACTTAGGTGAACATCATTTTATATCGAAAAAGTCAAGCCACCAACTTCCAACATTTAAAAACTAATTTAAAAGAAAAACAAGTTTTCCACTAAAAATAGCAGCCAGGAAACTTTGCGCACCTTTCTTTTTTATTTTCTAAAAGATGAAAAATTTGATAATCAAAGTAACTGTGTTATATTATACTATCTGAAATGCAAAACAGATGATACAGATAGTATAATATAACACATCTGATAACAGATGTTATAACTCAATTATGTTTATTGCTTTATCAATAATATTTTCAAAAACCATTAACAAGAGTGGCAAATTTTTGCAACATCACATAGTAAGTCCTTTTGATAAAAGAAAGATACAATTCATCTTTTACAATAGCTGGGACACAAAAAACCAAAAAAGATTTTTACAAATGTTGCATGCCTCATTAAAAACAAGAGAATTTTCATTTGATGGTGTTGGCACTAATGCCAGTCTCTACTTGTTCATATTAATGAAGTTATCTCACCAGGAACATTAATTTCCTACTATTTTATTTACACATCAAGAACATTATTTTCGATTTTTCTAATTATTTCCTGAGCTGGGACACACACACACCATTTTTCTTTTCTTTTCAACATCTTCAACACTTCCAACAAGACTGCAAGCAACCATCATTAGAGTTGGAAGTTACTAGAAATGAGATGAAATTTATAGATTGCAAATTAAATGAATCAGGAAAATAAGCGGAAGAAAGTGAATTCCAAAGGACTGATGCTCGAGGAATAAAACTAGATAAATAGAAACTTTTTGAGCACATAGGAACAGTCATAGTAAAAGGATGAGATTTAGTTGAATGACAAAAATGAATTTTAGTAGATGGCACAAGAGACACTAACTCTTTAGAACTGTGCCCATTATAGTATTTATAAAAAAGAGAAAGAGAAGCAACATTACAACAATGTGATAATGGCTGGAGGTTGGCTGCAAGAGCAGGTCTAACTATGTTTACAATGCATTTTTACACTTGTCTAACAAAGAAAGGGCATCATTTGAAGATCCACCGCAGATATGGAAACAGTATTCCATACAAAGATAGATTTTATATTTATAGAGATAAAGAACAGAGTCCTGAAGTGATGAGCACGATAAAGATAGGCAACCTTAGCAGATGCTAATTTTGCAATTGATTATATATATGGTTTCCAAGAAAAATTGGAAGTAAGAGTTAATCCTAGAAGATGAAGGGTAGATGACTCATCAAGATCTTCCTATATTTATGAAGATTACTGTTCATAAATATAGGAAGATCTAGATTATTGTGATAACAATTAGCTGAAGAAAAAAAAAGTTTTATGTGAGTTAAAGTTCACCAGTCACTGAGAGCCCCATGCTGTAGCAGTAGTGAGATTCTTTTCAAACTCAAATGCCCCCACTAAGTAATCAGAGAGTGTTGGTTTCTTAACAAGACAAAAATAAATGGTAGTATCATCAGCAAACAATGTCATCTTAGATGTGAGAATTTCTAAGAGATGGTTAATGTAAATTAAAGAAAAGTATAATGTCAACGATAGAACCTTGAGGAACCTCTAAAGTAACAAGATGAAGAAAAATGTTGTCCATTGAGGACAACTTTTATACTTTTATACAATTAGTAAGAAAGGATTCAATAACCTTAAAGATGTTACCCGATACACCATAAGAAGAGAGCTTATGAACAAGACCAGCATATCAAAAACCAAACTTTATTAAAAACTTCAAAAATGCCGAGAGTGATAGCCTTAGCCTATCCACATCTATATAATGCACAATAAAACGGATCAGTTATTATCGTTAACAAATCAGCAGTAGAATGAAAAGATTGAAATCCATATTAATGATCAAAAAGTAATTGATTAAATTTTAGATAAAAGATTAAGTGTTTGTTAATTAAAGACTCAAAAACCTTGCTTATGATAGTAACAAGTAAAACAAAAACTGAATTTTTAAAACCTAATGCTTTTATATATTATTAAAACACAAATTTTGCAATCGATTTTTATGATATTACTATTTTATTCTATTAACATTTGGCTGTATGTGTGTGTAAAAAACAAAATCAACACCATATCCAAATATGCTGAAGGCGCTTATAAGTATGAAAACAATCTATATGTTATTTTAAAAATTATCATTCTTCCATATAAAAGATAAACTTAATTAAAATTAACTAAATTACAAAACTAATTATTGAATATTGTATTGCCATCAAGCAAGAGCATGTATGCAAAATTTGAAGAGAATCTATCATCAGGAAGTGATTCCGAAATTGATTGCAAGATTTGATGCTCACAGACAAACAAACAGACAGAGACAACGAGTTAATAAAAGGATTGGTAAATAAACTAATGGGACGATAGTTAGACGAGTCAGATTGCTCTCCAGAATTTTTGAAAATAAGGATAACAGATGTTGCTTTCTAGCAGGCTGGAAAACAACTCTGATAAGCACTTGTTAAATAGTTTTGTAAGTATAGACGCTCTAGAGAACACTTCTGCAAGACTATAAAAGTTATGTTGTCTGGACCACAAGCTATAGAAGAGTCTAAACAGGAAATCACTTTAGATACAGAAGCTGGAGTGATACGAAGGTCAGGCAATGGATTAACCTGTTTGTCGGCTATATCAGGAAGAACGCGACTAGTGAAATCAAGAGATGATACTAACGAGTTAGCAAACAATTCAGTTCTTAGCAAACAATTCAGGTTTGTCTTTAGGTGAGGTGAAAAAATCTAAATCATACAAGAGAGATACAATAACAAATTTGCCTTTATTATAAATATCCTTAAAGATTCTCCATATAAACAACCCTTGGAATTAGGGTCAGCATTCGACAATGTCTACCTTGTTTCTACGTTTTATAGTCAGACCTTTGTATCAAATAATTTTTGCCAATTTTAAAAAAGATTGAGGTTGGCAAATAATATATATATATATATACATATATAAACACACACACACACGCACACACATACACACAGAAAGATATATATAGTTTTTAAATAGGTATAAATACCAGCATTGGTTCATCTTCGTCTTGTGAACACAATGCATCCTCTTCAGCTTCTTGAACTGCCAAATTAGGACATCTGCATTATAATATACAAATTAAAATAAATATAAGTAAATGCATAAAACTGAACTATATATAAACGTTTTGAAAAAAAATCATTACCTTCTATTTATACAACATTGTTTTGATCTGCCACTTCCTCCAAATTTAACCATGTCTTTACAAGAGCGACAAACTCCACAATCTGGTTGCTGACAAATCTCACAGACTCCACAGCGCTTCCTACGTTGTGTAGTTACACCCTTTAAATCAATTTGGTTTTTGAAGAACGTATCAAAAACATGCCGTACTAGTGGTGTTGTTGTTGCCTTTAATAAAATAAAATAAAAAAATTTAATAACAATTTATTCAAGTATTAAAACAACACTACAAATCAACAATAGTAAAAAATAAAAGTAATTAAGGTTAATCACTTTTCTTCATTCAATTATTAAAATTTGCTTCAAATTTAAAAAGGAATAAATAGCAAAAAGCAGGCTTGGTCAGGAAGGCGTGTGATTTCATGTCATTATATGACCATGCAAATACTATTTGATTTTACTTAACTTGACCACAGCTGTTAATACGTTTTAAAAATTAGTGTATGTTTTAAAAAGGCGCTAAAAAAATTATCTTAACTATGAAAAAACTTTAAAAAAAACTTATCGTAAAAGAATCAAATAAATCTTGGTAAAAAAACAAAAAAAACAAAACAAAAAACGAAAAATTAACTTAATAAAACAACAGAAATAAAATTAAAACTTAACTAAATTAAATAATTAACTATAACAATAATATTATCTAAATTATGTTTGGAATAAATAACTTTAAACCGTTTATCTTTACTAATGCTTTTTTAATATAATTAGGCGAATTATGCGAAATGCTTTTTAAATAAAGTAATAAATACTGGAATTCCTGCCGGATTTTCTTTCTTTTAGATCAATTTGCTTCTGGTTCTAGTTAAACTTTTTTTTTAATTTTTTTAATGTGATACAGGCAGTGTAGATCAATCAAAAAATCATTATCATACTGAGCAATGAAAAACTATAAGTAAACCAAGGTAAAAAATACAAATGGTATTTTTGCAAATGTATTTGCAGTACTACTATTTCTGAAAATAAACTTACATTTTTATTTTTAATCTAGGTTTATCTATAGTTCTTTGTTGCTCTGTAGGATAATGATTTTTTGATCTATCTACACTATCTGTGTCACATGTCATAAAAAAATTTAACTACAGCTAGAAGCGAATTGATCTGAATAAAAAAAAATTCATCCGGAATTCCGGTACACCCCTAGTAATAACTAACAACTGACGATTGTTTAATAAACGCGCACATTTAAAAGTTTAATAAAGATTCTTAATTCTTTGCATTTTTATTTAATTTTTTTTTATTTAAAAACATAATAAAAAATAAAGACTTTTAAAAAAATCATTAGCAGTGACTTGTTACTTTATTTAAACTCAATAAAATAAAAACGTAAGTAAAGATCGAAGTTAGTTAATTCAAACGGCTTTCAAATAAGTTTTTTTTCTCAAAAAAAGTTTTTTTTCTCAAAAAAAACTTCAATGATTCTTGTATGAAGTTTATTAGAGACCTTTGCTTATTAAAGTCTAAAATTAAAAAAAAAAATTTGTTTAATAACTTTTACTTTTTTTATTTTGACTTATAAAAAATCTTATATAATTAAATAATATAAATAAAGAAATATGCAACTTTCAATGATAATTAAAATCTTTATTTAAAAGCATTTTGCTAATATAAAAAGGTTAGTAAAGATAACCGCGTCAAATTTATTTATTTTCAAGGTAATTAAAAATCCATTTTTTTAAACGCATTTGTTAAAAGCTGTGGTTAAATCATCATAGTAAAATACTATTTGCGTGGTCATATAAAGACTTGAAATCGCACGCTTTCCTGGCCAAACCTGAAAAAGCACCATTTTTTTGCTTATTTATCTACATTTATTTTGACTAAGTTTGTAATTGCTTAAAGATTGATTTAAAAAATATTTTTTTGAGCAAAATCTATTAACCCCAAAAATTAAAACATTTTGATTACTATTTTAATTGTGCAAATTTTTTGTTTCTTAAAAAAATGAATACATAATAAGAAAGTATAAACAAAAAAGAATCAATTAAAAGCATACTAAACTCAAGCCTTCTCAGGTGATGCGTGCAGTTGCACGCATTATATGACCACGCATATAATATTTTGTTTTGACAACTTGGCCACACCTCTTTGCAAGTTTTGAAAATTAGAGCGTTTAAAAAATGTGCTGAATAAACAAATGTAAACTTAACTAAAATTAAACTGAAATGAGAAATAAAAACTAAAAGAAAAAATACAAAACTAAACTAAAAAAAAAAAAATCCTAACAAATGATAAAATAAATAAATGGTATGGTTAAGGTTATTTATTAAAATAAAGACATATTAATATGTCTTTATTTTAATTTAAAAGTGTTTTATTTCATAGAATTTATAAAATATCAGAGTTTTAAAATTATTTAATTCAAGCTTTATACTTCAAAACTTAATTATTTAAAAATTTGAAACTTTTATATTTTCTAATGTCTACTAAGCAAATTGAACATAAAAGGAAAATGTTAAAAGGTGTAATCCTAAACATTTATTTAATTAAAATTCCAAGGTTAACAAAAATTCAATTCTCCAGCTAAAGCTTCTAGTCAATCTGAATCAATTTACCCTCTCTACTCAACTTATGTCTTGTTTCTGATCATAATTAGTGCCTGGCTTGGCGTAAGACAAAAGATTTGCTTAACCTTGTTTGCTATAAAACCTAAATCTTAATAAAACTAGTCTCAAGTTCTCAGGTCACGAAATCTCGTAATTAATCTCAAAAATTAGGCTCTCAAGACTTCTGGAGATTCTTTAACAGTATCTATAATAAGAGCAAATCTGTTATTCCACCTCTCTTGTATGGGTCAGGTTTTGTCACCTCATCTCAAGACAAAGCTGAATTGTTTGCTAATAACTTATCATCAATACCATCTTTTGATTTTACTAGTCATGTTCTACCCGATATAGCTGACAAAACAGGTAAATTGATTGCCTGACATTTGTATCATTCCAGCTTCTGTATCTTAAGTGATTTCCTACTTAGACTTATCTTCAACTTGTCGTTTGGTATGACTCATCTTCAACTTGTTGTTTGGTATATCTCACTACTGCTGCAGCATGGGGCTCTCAGTGACTGGTGATCTTTTACTCACATAAAACTCCTTTTTTTTCCACCTAATTGTTATCACAATAATCTTCCTATATTTATGAACAGTAATGTTCACAATAAGTCATCACCCTACATCTCCTAGGATTAATTCTTACTTCTGATCTTTCTTTGAAACCATATATCAAATCGATTGCAAAATTAGCATCTGATAAAGTTACATATCTTTATGGTGCTCGCTACTTTCTTACTAAAGATTCAATTCTTTATCTCTAATCTTAAATCCATCTTTGTATGAAATACTGTTGCAATAGCTGGGGTGGATCTTCAAAAGATGTCCTTTCTCTTTTAGACAAGGTGCAAAAACACATTGTAAACATAGTTGATTCTGCTCTTGCAGCTAACCTTTAAGAATTGTCACGTCGTAATATTGCTTTTCTTTCTCTTTTTTATAAATACTATAATGGACACTGCTCAAAAGAGCTAGCGCCTCTTAAGCGATCTACTAAAATTCATTCTTGTGTTACTCATAATTCAATTAAGTCTCATCTTTTTACTGTAACTGTTCCTAAGTGCTCCAGTTTTTTCCTTTGAACATCAGCTCTTTTTTCTTTTTCCCTTAATTTATCTTGTTTTTCTAATTTATATAATTTGCAATCATTTAAGTAGTCTATTAATTGTTATCTTGCTCTATAAAATTCATCTTTTCTCTTCCAGTAACTTCCAACTATAATAGTGGTTGCTGCAGCCCTTTTGGAAGTGAAGATGTTTAAAAAACAAAAACAAAAACTATTGCCAAATATTAATTTTTAAATATTATTAAAAATAAAAATGATAGAAATGGTAACTTATTAATGAGATAAAACTTTAAAGAAATTTACTATTTTAAAACTGTTTTAAAACTTTAAAGAAAATCACGGTTTTCTGCAAAATTTAGCTTTAATTTTGCCAAGTAAAATTAAAATATATATTAACAAAAATCACTTGGGATTTCCCCTGCAAGTAGTTCATAAAATTGGTAACTTATGTTTATGTTTTCACCAAGCCTTCAACAACATCAATTACTATATAAAAACAACATCAATTACTATATAAAAAACAAGAAGTTCAATCTTGAAAAATACAAAAACTTGTTTGGTGTAACACCTACATATGATGTTAGTTTGAAAGTTTTGCTAAACTAAAGATGTTACTTTGAAAGTTTTGCCAGTAAGAGCTGAAGATTAGTGTAAATCATTGAATACTACTACAACCTTGTGGCTTTAAAACAAAATGTTTTATTTAAATTAAAAAATAAAATAATTATATTAAAAAATATAATAATTAAAACTAAAACATTTTCATATACTTTAATCATAGTTGTATGTAAATTACTTGTAAAAATTATATAAACAATATATAATAATATATATATAAAAAAAGAAGTTATGTATAATTTTTATTAAAAAAATGAATTCAATAGAAAGTTATTTAAGTTTATATTAGTTTAATTCATTCTAAAAATATAAACAAAATTATTTTTATAACAGTTTTATGAAATACAACTATAAATTAATATTATTAAATATAAATATACAAAAAGTAAACAAATATTAAAAATAGGTTTTCTGCACAATTGCTGTTTGAAAAAAACTTTTTTTTAAATTTTAAAAAATTTAAAATGTCATCTTGATGATTTATTTAAAATAAGTTATAAAGAGATATAAACATATACTTTGATGTATTTTTAAAATGAAAGTAGGAAAGCGGTATTTTTCAAGTAAATACAATTTTAAATTGTTTGTAAGTTCCCAGTTGTATTAAAAAGCAGGAACTTTTTTAAACACCACAGACTAAAATAAGAGTAAAACCCAATCTAATTTGTGTAAGTTTGTTAACCTTCTAAACGAAAGTATAACGGTGAAACAACACATTTTTTTTCTAAATATCTGAGTTTTTTTTCTCTCGAAAAGTTCATATAATCTTAAACTTGTTTTCTAATGTTTATTTTTAAAACAAGCATAATTTGTCTTGACAATATATCATAAGAAAACAAGTTTAAATTCTGTGGCGCTCTAAAGCTATTCATGTATATCATATTCATCTTTAACCTGATGCCTTAAATATTTATTATATGCTAGAAAGAACATTTTTTTAAATTTTAGACTCAGTGCAGCAATCTTATGAAGCAGGAGAAAGGCATATATGAGAAGGATGAGGAAGGCATCATAATCCCTTTGATGGACATCACTCCCCTTCATTTCTAGTAACTTTTGAAGTACCATTTGGTTTTATCCTTGGTCCTGCATTGTTTCTCATCTATATTAACAATCTTCCAGATGACCTTACTGTTAATTTTACTTACTAGAGTTGGACCAAGAGTTTTCTTTTCTTCCTTAACTTTTAACCCACGCATTTGTCGTCTATAAAAAAGAAATAGAAATATTTCATATCAGTTTTTAATCATTATTATATACAATCATTATATATTTTATATATAAATCATCATCCACAGCACTATGTTGTGGCTCAATTGACAAAATTAAAAGACAAAGACCTCATAATATAATAAACTTTTGCTTTATGCTTTATACCTTTTCCCCAATGTTACACCAGCCAACTTTATAAGATCTCTCATACAACAAGATGTAATCAAACGCGGAGAATCTTCTTCATCTAATGCAGCTGAATCATAACTTTCAACCTGAAAGTGACAATATTTATATTTTAGCTTTAAAATGTTTTACAAAATACATAAGATGGGTTACAATTTAAAATATATTATAAAAAGATAACAAAAAAACAGAAACACATATAAAATAAAATAAAAGTGATAGAGTAAACATTTTTTTATGTACCTTATACATTGAGCAAACATTTAAAAAAATACAGAAACACATAAAAGTGATAAAATAAACATTTCTTAGCAAATAACAAAAAACAACAATGTTAAAATAACTAACTTGCTCAACAAGAAACTGTGCATGTTGCAACAGAGTGTCCTCTGTAAATTTTGCGCAATTCTCAGGTGGCACAGTTGTCTGAAAATAAAATAACAGTTATAAGTAATTCAGATTTAAAAGTTTTACTTTTAAAATTCAAAAAGAAAATTGAAACTTTAGAATTATAGTTTTTATTATTTTAAAGGTTAGAAGACTACTTAAAGTTGTGCTCAAACCAAAAACTTTCTTACCTCAAGTTTATTAAGAAGTTCTTCATACTCTGAATCAGGGTTGTTAAGAAGAAACTCTATTACTATCTGTTTAAAAAAGTAAGAATATTCACTGAATAAAAATTTATTATTTTTTAAAAAATATAAGTTTTAATTAGTATTAGTAGTAAATAAAACTAAAGTACAAAAAAAAAAAAAAAAAAAAAAAAAAAAAATTAATGTAAACTTTGCCTCATTTGTCATTTAGCAACATAAGTGCAGTTGAATGTACACAAATCAACTAGCAATTTTAATAGGCATTAGTCAGGTTTCAATTTTCAAAAATCATGACTAATACCTACCCAAAACAAAAATATCAGCTGGCTCATGTACATTTCACTAAACTTTAAATTTTAACTTATTTTGTTTAGGTTTGTGTTGCAGAGTTAAAGAGTTCAAAGAGGATTGTAACCACAAAAAAGTATCATTATTATAAATTCAGTATATATATATATATATATATATATATATATATATATATATATATATATATATATATATATATATATATATATATATATATATAGTCAACTTATGCAAACAAAAAAACTTATGCATAAAACAACAAAAATGTTCAACTTTTGTATACAACAAAAAAATTACAAAATTAAGATTACTAAACTGAAAGCTTTTAATTAACAAGCCCTGCTGCCTTGCAGAGTGTGCTCTTCTTATGCAAAGGCTAGGAGAAATAAACTCCGACTAAAAATTCCCTTGCCTTGGGGCTCTTGGTTGAGTAAAGGCTAGAGATGGTGTCTCGATAAAAACACTCATCTTGGGCAGATGTTAACTGCATCCAGCTAAACATCCCCTGCCTTGGGGCTCTTGGTTGAGTAAAGGCTAGAGATGGTGTCTCGATAAAAATACTCATCTTGGGCAGATGTTAACTGCATCCTGCTACTGTCTTGTAGAAGGCCTCCTAGGCAAAGATTTTAGGGGTAAGCAGAAAAATTCTGCTAACCAGCCTCGAACCCCTTCTTCATCTATTAGGCTGGCGTAGATGTAACCTGTGTTACATTGTTTCCTGCCTAGGATGATGAATGCTGGATCTCCTTGACTCTACTCATAGAATTTTGCTTATGCCTCCTTGATAATGGCTATGCAACTCTTCCTGTTATCTCCATATGAGGGTACAGCTCTAAAACTCAGTTTAATGGTTCTGAGGCCGGCTGGTAGTAAGTTTTCCCGAACTCTGTGGTAGCTCTCAGAGAGGCTGATTCCATCAACAGCTGCAAAATATCAGAGTATTAACAGTGCCATGTTGCGCATGGATGGTGTCCCTGTTAATGCTTTTGGTGTGCATTGCCAAGGCCACATAAGGAGCCCTATGTCACGGCTTAGGGTTAATTAACAGGACTGAGACAACTGCATAGCTCATTGATTAGGAGGCTGTGCTCTATCTATGAATGAGTCAAGTTCTCATTAAACCCAAATCATGACCAAAGTAACCAAAAATTTAAAACCTAAAAAACCATCCCCACCACCTAAATATTTTAATATATCTTTTACAAATATTCGCGGTCTACGAAGCAACTTTCCATCAGTTGAGTCTTACCTCCTGCAAAATTCACCAGACTTGCTTGCACTCAGTGAAACAAATTTAAGTTCTGCAATTCCTTCTTCGGATGTCGGTGTTGATGGGTACTATCCTTTGATTCGTAAAGACTCTAATAGTCACATGCTAGGTTTAGGGGTATACATACGCATTAATTCCCCTATTTGTCGTGAAATCAGGTTCGAATCCTTTGACCATTCTTTTATGTGCTTTCGCCTAGCACCTCTTCACTCTATCACCTTTCTCTTTGTTCTTTATCGTTCTCCTTCTTCCCATGATTGCACTCTTTTAGATGTTATCTCTGATCAAATTGACCATGCCCTCTCTCTTTACCCCTCTGCCAATATTGTTGTTGTTGGTGATTTTAATGCCCATCACACTGAATGGCTTGGCTCTAACACCACTGATCCTGCTGGCACTAAAGCCTTTAACTTCTGCATTTCTCAATCTCTTACTCAGATAGTTAACTTTGTGACTCGTTTTCCTGACAACCCTAATCATTTACCTTCACTCCTTGACTTATGTCTTGTCTCTGACCCTAGCTTATGTTCAGTTTCTCCCTTTTCTCCCTTAGGTGGTTCTGACCATGCAATGATCTCTATAAATCTTTCTTCTCGTACTTCTTTTTTGGGCTCACCTTATCATCGCACCACCTACTACTACCCTAAAGCTGATTGGGATTCCTTTCGTGATTTTCTTCGTGATGGTCCTTGGGCTGATGTTTTTTCTCTCTCAGCTGACAAATGCGCCTCCTATGTAACCTCCTGGATTCAGGCTGGAATGGAAGCTTTTATTCCTTCTCGTCGGTTTCAAGTCAAGCCTCATTCTACTCCATGGTTTTCTCCTTCTTGTGCGGCTGCTATATCCAATCGTAATCATTTTTTTCATCTTTTTCAAAAGAACAACTCTCTTGAGAACAAACGACTATTTATTATTGCAAGAAATCGATGTAAAAAGGTGCTTTCTGATGCTAAACTCCATTATTCTCAGTTCACTAAATCTCGCATCTTATCGCAGAAGTTAGGCTCTAAAGACTTTTGGAAAATCTTCAACAGCATTGTTAACAAGGGTAGATCTAACATTCCATCTCTCATTCATGGGACTGATCTTGTTACCTCTCCCAGGGATAAGGCAGAACTGTTTGCAAAGAACTTTTCTTCTAATTCCACTCTTGAATCTTATGGACATTCTCTTCCTTCCATTCCAGTCAAACAGGTTGACCCATTGTTAGACATTCAAATCACTCCGGCTTCTGTTGCTAAAGTCATATCTCAATTAAACTTGTCTACAGCTTGTGGTCCAGACAACATTCCTGTCACAGTCTTGCAAAATTGTTCTCCAGAACTTTTTTCAATTCTCTCTAAACTATTTAACAAGTGTTTGACTGAGTCTTGTTTTCCTGCTTGATGGAAAATGGCATCTGTGGTTCCAATATTCAAAAATACTGAAGAAAATTCTGACCCCTCCAATTATTGTCCGATCAGTCTTCTTTTTGTTATTAGCAAGGTCTTTGAGTCGTTGATCAACAAATTCCTCACATCTCATCTTGAGTCAAATAAACTGCTGTCAGACAATCAATACGGTTTTCGATCCTCTCGCTCTACGGCCGACTTGCTAACTGCTGTAACTGAGGGATTTTGTCGTGCATTAGATGGAGGCGGTGGGGCTGGGGCTATTGCTCTCGACATATCTGAAGCTTTCGACGGGGTTTGGCGTGCTGGTCTTCTCCATAAGCTTGCTTCATATGGTGTTTCTGGGAAAGTTTTTGAGATTATCAAATCATTTCTTTCTGACCGGTTTATTAAAGTCATCCTTGAAGCCCAACACTCTTCTTTATTTCCAGTAACATCTGGGGTTCCCCAAGGTTCCATCCTGGGCCCTGTTTTGTTTCTTATCTACATAAACGATCTTCCTGACAACCTTTCATCTAAAGTAGCTCTTTTTGCTGATGACTAAACTTTATACTCCTGTCTTGACAAAAAGTCTTCTCTTTTCGATCGCCTAGAACAAGCAGCTGATCTTGAATCTGATCTCACTTCGGTGGTAGATTGGGGTTCACAGTGGCTTGTGAGTTTCAACTATATAAAAACCCAATTGCTTACTGCAAACAACTTCGTAATATGGTCAACATTCCTATATTAATGAATGGCAATCCTCTTACTGAGTCGCCCTCTTTACGTCTTCTTGGATTATCGCTTACTACTGACCTTTCATGGAAACCATATATACAATCGATTGCTAAATTAGCTTCTGCTAAGGTTGCTTCTCTTTACCGTGCTCGCCATTTCCTTACTTCTGATTCCATTCTCTACCTCTACAAATCTCTTATTCGTCCCTGTATGGAATACTGTTGTCATATTTGGGCTGGTTCTTCTAACGATTCACTTTCTCTTCTTGACAAGGTCCAAAAACGCATTGTAAATGTTGTTGGACCTGGACTATCTGCTAAGCTTGAACCTCTTTCCCACCGTCGTAAAGTTGCATCTCTTTCTCTTTTCTACAGATACTATCATGGTCACTGCTCAAAGGAGTTATCATCTCTAGTTCCATCAACTAAAATTCATTCTCGTTTTACTCGTCATTCAGCTAAGTCTCATTCGTTTACTGCATCTGTCCCTGCATGCTCTAAAAACTTTTATTCATCTAGTTTTTTTCCCCGCACTTCAATCCTTTTGAACTCTCTCCCATCTTCATGTTTTCCTGACTCATACAACCTTCAACTTTTCAAGTCTTCTGTCAACCGTTTCCTTGCTCTATAACTCTGTTCTTTTTTTTTCTTCCTAGTAACTCCCAACTTAATAGTGGTTGCTTGCAGCCTTGTTGGGAGTGAATGCAAATAAAAAAAAAAAAAATTGTTTTTTCAAAATTTATAAACTTATTTATTTTAAATAAAAAAAAAAATTTCATAATTATTAGTTTCTTCAAAGATTATTTATATATTTTGTTAAGTATGATTTTCGATAATACAAAAGTAATAATTTCTTACCTTACTCATATAAATTTTTTCAGTAACTGCATTCATAAACGAAGCATAATCGTCTGATGGCCTCATTAAGATGTATTCAGCAAATGCTAAAAAAATTTAATATCCAAATTGCATAAGTATTTTTTATTTAAAATTAGGAAGCTTATATTCCTTTAAATTCCCTAAATTAATAAGGTTGTGTTCCTTAAAATTCTCTAAATTAGGAAGTTTGTTTTCCCTAGACACTATCTACATATTTCAAACTTAACCCTAACATTTTAGTTGATAAAAAGATAATCTATTATTATTATTTAAAAAAAAAAAAGAAAGAAAGAAAAGCAAAAAGTATTTTTTTTAATAAAATAGCAGTTCAGAGTGTAAAGGTTAAATGACTCTTCAATAAATTTACATCAATTGACTCCTCAATAAATTAATATTAGGAAACCTTCGTCCCTAATATGTTTTGCATTTATCCATTGAAATCATTTCTTTCGGTTTGTCTTTTATTATTCTACTTACCAAGGCTTCACTTTCTAATGATCTCTCAGCCAAGTTGTTATTCATGATTTTAATGCTCATTGGATTGAATGGCTTAAGTAGCACTAATACAGCTGGTTCAATTTTTTTTTGTTTATCTCAAATTTCTCTAATTAACTCTTATTACTTATCATTACACTTATTGATTTATATCTCTGACAATAATCAATAAGTTTGTGTCAAGTTTCTCTTTCCCACACTCATTGATTTGTGTCTCTGACCCTTGTTTGTGTTAAGTTTTTTCTTACCTACACTAATTGATTTGTATCTCTGACCCTAGTTTGTGCTAAGTTTCTCTTAGTCTTCTACAAGGTGGTTTAGGTTATAATTTAATCTCACTAAAACTTTGATCTCATACATTTACTATATCTGATTTACCCTATTATTGCACTTCATACTGGTTCAAAAATCTATTGCAAATGTTGTTGAATCTGGTCTGGCTACTCGTCTTGATTCTCTGTCCCACCATTGTATGTTTTCATATCTTTCCATTTTCTTCAAATACTTCCATACTTGCTGCTTAATCAAGCAATCGTATCTTGTTCCATCAACCAAAATGCAATCTTGTGTGGTTTATCAATCAGCAAAGCCACAGTCTTTTTCAGTAACTGTTCCTTCAAACTCAAAATACTTTTATTTATCTAGAGTTTTTCCTTGAACATCAATATTTAAGAGTTCTTAATCATACCTTCATGTTTTTTTGCAGATATTTAATATCTGCCTTAAGATATGAAAACAAGAGATTTCAAAGCAATCAAAGTTAACCAAATATTTCAGAAAAAAACTTTTAAATATTACACATGTAACAGTTTTAAATGTTACATATGTTAGATTAGTTTTAAATATTACATATGTCAAAACCAGTTTTTTCTATAACATTTAAAATTACTAATAAAATATTTTCTTATAAAATTATAAACTTATACCAGTTCCAAAACCAATCAAAGCATTTTCTCCACCATCAAAACCTGCAATCCACCACTCGTTGATTGGCCCCATAGCTTTAGTGGAAATGCCCCCTGGGAATAACAACAATAAAAAAATTATTTAAAAATAAAAACATTACTACTAATAATCTATAGTCAAAAATTATCACTAATGATTTATATACCCTTTACCCTTTAATAATTTATAGTCAAAAATTATTACTAATGATTTATATACCCTTTACCCTTTAAGAACTTATAATAGTCAAAAATTATCACTAATGATTTTTATACCCTTTATTCTTTAATAATTTATAATAGTCAAAAATTATTACTAATGATTTATATATACTTTACCCTCTATATCAGGATTCTCATCAAAAATTGGCTTTACATAACCGCTGAAAAAGAGCTCAACATTTTTCTCAATTAAACCAGTGTCAAAAGCACAAAGATGGCCACACTTGTCATAAACACTAATGGAAAAACAAGAGTTTACAAAGAGTGAGAAAAAAAAATAAAACTTTTTTATAACATGATATTTATCAAAACCCAAAGAATAACTGAATCTGTGAAAAGAAAAACAGTACTAGTCCATTTTTGTTATTTGTGCTTTTTTTCATAATTTCATTCAACTTATGTCGATTTCTCTATGTAATACAAAAATAATATTAGTCCATCTTTCTTTCATTATTTTTTGCCATAAAGTAGATTTAAACTAGTTGAAGAACAAAACTTCAACATTAATTATCTCGAAATGAAAATACAGTACTGTTCTTCTTTTCACCTGTTCAATTAAAATAAATTACACTAATATAAATTACATTAAAAATTAATTTAATAAATTACATTACATTTATCTATTATTTTAATTATTTACTGTTAGATTCTTGGATCATTATGATGAGCTATAGTACTAAAAAATAAGGACCAAAGAATGCAGAAAATGATATAAAAAGTTTTTTGGCAAAAATACCTGAACTCTGTAACTTTGTGTTGAGGTCTGTCTTCGTATGCATCAAAATCTTGCTCATTTCCAGACAACAACGATAATCTTGGATCAACCAACATTGCAAATTCTTCCAACTAATAAAAACTTCTATTTATTCAGAAAATATAAACAACTTCATTTATAAACAAAGTTTAACATTCACAAAGAATATTAAAAAAAAAAGCATACAGCATCACTGTGGTCGCCTTGAAACAACTTTATATCATTGCTATTTAATAGTTGTCGACATTCTTTGCATTTTTCTACAGCCTAAACAATTAAATTAAGATATTGAATTGTTTTTGCAATAAATTTCAAAACAAAACTTTCATCATTCAATTATCAACATCAAATGTAAAAAGGTGGCAGTTGCACGAATCTGATGCCATGAGACATGATGAATAAAATAACAACAGCTCTATTGGGCAGAACCAAACTAACATCACTAAATTGGCAAATTATTTTAGACCAAGAGATATTTTTTACCTTGTCCAACATCAAACTTGCTGACATCATTGCAAACCAATCAGAAACTAATGCTTAGTACAAATACATTGTTACTAATGCTTATTTACAAACACATTGTTATTATTACTTTTCAAATACTTGCAAAAAAAAAACTTTAATTTAATAAAAGTAAAAAAAAACAACTAAAAAAACTATAAAAACTGTAAAACTATGATATGACTGCAAAAGAAAACAAAAAGACCAATTTGAATACATTTAAAAAATATTTTCGAACTGAAAAAATGTAAAGCAAATAGAAATTCAATGTTTCTTAGGTGTAAGATATATGGCAGGCACTCAGACTTATCAATAAAACCATCCAAAATTATTGAAGAAATGTAAGTTTAAATTCAAAACAAAAGAAATAGCAAATCATAAAAAAAAATGTAAATAAAAGTAAATTTTTAAAATTGTGCATATCTAGAGGTTAATTTTTTAAATTGCACACAATTTGAGACATCAGTATATGGTTGACCTTTTTTCTATTCCCATAACTAAAAATCCATTTCAATAAGAAATTTGTCAAAATTTGTAGAAATATTTTAAGATAATTTAATATTTTTCATTGAACTTGTAGGGAATCTTAAGATCGTGTTTTATCTAGTTATTCCAACAACTTTTTTTATTTTAAACTGGACAACTAAGTTAATTATTTTATATTATAAATAATTTCAACAATATGATAAAAACCTTTAAAAAATGCAATTACAACATTACACAAATGTTATTCCTAATTAGATCGAAGTTAATTTGAAGTCAATTGTTAGTTAAGTTAACAGCATTCATGTATTTAAGATATTTATTATTTATAGGTTATTTTGGATTATCTTTATAAGATAATCCAAAATAATATCTGTGATTAAATAATGGCAACTATTTAAATATTTTAATAATAATTATATTATTATACACTGCACAAATATTTTATATGACACTGTATAAATATTTAAATATATTAGAAATACAAAAAATTTATTGTAATACAAACAAAGTAAAAATTTAATTTCAAGACAAACCTTCACTCCAGGCTTTTCTGAATTTGTTAAGAAACTATAAGAAAATTACACTTTGCTTAAATATTGAAGATTAATATATTAATAATAATAATAGTAACAACAACACATGACTGTACAATATGGCATTTTTAAGGTTTATAAATCTGTGTTTTTTCATTTAAGAATACAAAAATTAAATAAAAAGATATTTTATAAACATTTTATAATACATATTAAATTTTATATTTTGTATGATTAAAATATATCTAAGATATCTTATTATAAATATGAATCTTTATAAAATGTTATTCTTTTTTTTACTTTATTCTTTTTTTTTTAGCTTATTGTGAAGGAAACACCATATAGCAAAGCTAATTGAGGCAAATTCCTCAAATTATTACTCATGGGGTGAGTTCGGAGAACCTACAATCTTGCTGTTAAGGGGGTTTTAGCAAACACGAGTTAGCAGTGCATTACTTAACTGAGCTATCCTGGTTCTATAAATTTAAGATGTATAATAAATGCAAAATCAAGTACTATAATTTTTTTTTAACATGTTGAATCCTAACAACCACAATTTAAGTTGGGAGTCAACAAAAAGTAAAGTAACAATTTCAAGAGCATACTAATAGTTGACAAGATGGTTTAACTTGAATAATGGTGTAACAAGCCTCGAAAAACCAAAAGTCAGGTTAATAAAAAGATAAGACAAAATTCATCAATGCATCAATGTTCCAGGAAAAAAACTAGACGAATAAAAGTATTTTGAATATAAAATATAAATACAAAAAAAAAAGATGCAATTTTGCTTAATCATGACTCTGCTTGACTACTAATTTGCTTAATAATGAACTGAGCTTTTTTAGTTTTTTTTTTTTTAATGCTTTTTTAAGCAGCATGGTAGCATTGTCATAAACAGCAATGCTACTATTACTATCATATTTTAAATTATTAGAGACACTAATTATTTAATCATAGAGAGTCATCCTTAACAATAATATAGCTGCCTCAGCCCTTCTAATTGACTTGAATTCATAAAAAAAAAACAGATCTTATGTTGCCTCTCATCACACCATATGCACTAACAGAGAAAACACGTGTATAATGGTAATAGTAATACTCTGATATTTTACAGCTGTTGAAGACACAGGGTCTCTGAGAGCTAACTCAGAGTTTACAGCTGAACTCAGAGTTGATGGAATCAGGCTCTGTGAGATCTGATTCCATCAATAATCTGAGATGATGAAGATAGCTCAGAGTTTTCTCTCTGAAAGCTTTGAACTCAGAGTTATCATGAATACATACCTTGTATTTTTTTCTTTAATATCACCATCAGTTCTTTTTTTTTTCTAAAATCAAAAAGAATAAAAATAATTATATAGCATGTAAATATTACTTAAATATTAACAATTGTGCTGCTTAAGTTTGTTAAGCACTTTAAATTAAGGAAACCTTAGAAAATGTAAAAGGAATATTATCTTTGATGCTCAATTGGTTACAACTTTTTGAAATTAATGCTGAGAACAAAAGGTATGTAGAAGTAAATGGAATTAGAGACATTGCTTGTTTAACTATAAGAGAATAAGATTGTCCTAAATTGCACCAAAAACCACAGTCACTCTTTGCATTAAATTTGACTCATAGTACTGTTTTTGATCTCATGTCAATTAAATCATCTTTAATAAGATCTTTACCATTTATATCAATAAAAAATTAAGCTACACACTAAAATCTCTTGATTAAGACTTTTTGGGCAAAAAACTCTTTAAGAACTTTTATATTTCTTCCTTTAAATCCTTTGCGAATTGTACCTCATTGCGCAACAGCAGTTTTTCTAACGTGAACAAATTTGAGTAAACACCTGCATCTACTACCTTTTTCCAATGCTTACCTAGAAAAGTTTTTGGTTTTTCAGTTGCATTAACTATAATTATCACAATACCCTTAAGAGACAGATTTATATTGTTCAAATTATTGGAAATTCTGGCTAAGTAAGCTATTCCCTGCAAAAGCTTTATATTCTTCAGATTTTGGTACAGTGCAATTTTTTTATCTTTTAGAAATATTTCCACCCATAACTTGAATAAGCACTTTAAAACTTGTCCTCATGATAACCATCAAACTTCTGTATAATAGAGTAATACTTTGTCAAAAATAAGTTGCAAAAAAAAAACTTTTCTTTCATATTTGACATTTCTAGATTTATGTAAGGTGTGATACATATGTACTCTCAGCCAGTTACACGCTGAATAAAAAGGCAAAAAGTTCAGTTTTTAAATGTCTAAATATGTCTAATATACTATTTAGATATATAAATATATATCTAAATAAGTAAATGTTAGAAGACATTTTAACAATTCTAAAATGAATGACCATTTAACTGACACCGCATTAAACTTCTTTCTTTGACCTTTACCACAAACAAGTTTCACTATGTCTTGTAAACAAGGCTTTAAAAGAGATTCTACAATATTGTGTGAATTTTATATGTATGTATTGTATATATGTATGTATGTATGTATGTATGTATGTATGTATGTATGTATGCAACCCTCGGAATTTGTAAAAATGAGGTAGGCAATATTTTGCTGACCTTAATCTGCTCAAGGTCAGCATCAAGTTGGTAAAAAAAATAGATACAAAGGTTTATCCATAAAACATAGAAATGAGGTCGGCGATTTTTTGCCAACCTCAAACACGTCTAGGTCAGCAGTTTGGTCAGCAATGCCGAATGCTGATCCTAATTCTGAGGGCTATGTATGTATGTATGTATGTATGTATGTATGTATGTATGTATGTATGTATGTATGTATGTATGTATGTATGTATGTATGTATGTATGTATGTATGTAAGATGCAAAATTTGTCTATAAATTAAAAAAAAGCAAAACACAAAGAAACAAGTAAAGCTTATTAAAAAATTAATAGCGTTATGCAACTAAAACTTATTTCTATTCTATAGCTTTTTGTAACAAAATTTAATAACAAGGACTGATATTTTTTATAAAATATTTTGTGAATTGTTTAAAAAATTTTTACGGTAAGAATATAGTGTAACTCTTATTTTGGTCAGTATTATTTAACACTATCACTTTTATAATAACAAACATCTTTAAAGAATTAGAATGCAACTATAATGTTAAAATAGTTTGGACGTAATACTATGGAATTAGAACTAAAATTGTGGAATTAGATTAATATATTATTGGAATTAAATTTTTAGTCATAACAAAAACAAAATAATAAAAAACAACTGAATATATATTTGAAATTATTACATTTTCGTTCTCTTCTTTGCTAGGAGAAATAGATCGTTTAGTTTTCTTCACACTAAAAAAAGTTAAAAAAACTTTATAATTGTATGCATTATGTGTTTGTGTGCGTATATATATATATATATATATATATATATATATATATATATATATATATATATATATATATATATATATATATATATACACACACAAAAAACCGTAAACATGTAAATGAACGGTTTTAACTAATAAAATAAATAAAAATTTTTAAAAAAGATTATAAAACTTAATAAAATAATAATTGCACTTAAATTGCAATTAAACAAGCGTGAAAACAACAGGCATTTAAAAAGTAATATATTTTAACTTTTAAATAAACCTTGCTATGCTTGAAAAAAATTTGAGAAAAAAAGAAAAAATGAATGAATTTTTGTTTTAATAAAACATGTCAAACTTAAAAAGCAAGAAATTACAATAAATAAATTATAAACTAATATTTAACGAATATTATATATTTTTTACATGTATTGTAATTTGCATGCCGACAATTTAGGATATTCAGGTTAGCAGTTGTATGCCGTCCTTAAACAAAGATAGGTCATTTTTAGTGTTAGCATTGCTAAATGCTAACCTGAATTTTGCTGACTATATATATATATATATATATATATATATATATATATATATATATATATATATATATATATATATATATATATATATATATATATAATATTATATATTTTACAGGGCTTGAATTAACGCAAAAAAGTCTAATCGTGAAAAAAAAAAATTTTACCCCCCTCCTATACCTTGCGTCGCTTTGCGGTTATAGGGAGGGGGGAAGGGAAGTTGCATTAGTATATAATTTATGGTCAGGTCAGGTTTATCCTGCTACTGGTAACATATAACCCAGTACAATCTGCTTTATGTCCTGCTGCCTTGTAGGATATGCCTTTTTAGGCAAAAGCTAGGAGATGCAAAGTACGACATAAAACATCCCCTGCCTTGGACTCTTGGTTGAGTAAAGGCTAGAGAGTGTCTCAATAAAAATACTCATCTTGGGCAGATGTTAAATGCATCCGGCTGCTGTCTTGTAGAAGGCCTCCTAGGCAAAGACTTAAGGGGTAAACAGATTCTATCTGTTGACCAGCCTCGCATTAGTGGAAATGAAGCTATTGCTTGGGCTATAAAACAGTGTACTGAGTACTATCTTTGTTTCGAGTCAAGTTCTTTAACAAATTTAAAAATGAATAAAGTAACATAAACTATAAAACACAAAAAAACACAGTCATCACCAAGTTTGCTAAACCTATCATTTACCAATATTTGTGGTCTTTGAAGTAACTTTTCTTCTGTTGAGTCTTATCTCTTGCAAAGTTCACCAGACCTACTTGTTCTTTGGGAGACTAATTTGAGTTCTTCTGTCTCATCTTGTGATCTTAGTGTTGATGGTTATCTTCCTTTAATTCGTAAAGACTCCAATAGTCACATGCTTGGCCTGAGCATTTACATTTGTAAGAATTCACCCATTTGTCGGGAAACTAAGTTTGAATCCACAGACTACTCTTTTATGTGCTTTCGTTTAGCACCACTTCACTCTATCACCTTTCTCTTTGTTCTATATCGCTCTCCCTCATCTCAAGACTGCACTATTCTTGATATTATTTCTGATTATATTGACCAAGCCCTCATTCTTTATCCATCAGCCAATATTGTTGTTGTCGGTGACTTCAATGTTCATCACGCTGAATGGCTTGGCTCTAGTGTCAGTGACTCTGCAGGCATTAAGGCCCACAACTTTTGCCTTTCTTAATCCCTAACTCAAATAGACAACTTTCCAACTTGCTTTCCAGACAACCCAAATCATTTACCTTCTCTACTCGACTTATGTCTTGTTTTTAATCCTAGTCAGTGCTCAGTTTCTCCACACTCGCCTGTTTCTGATCTACACTCAGTGTTTCTGATCATGGTTTGGTCTAAACTATTATCTCATTCTTCTTTAGCATCAGAATCCCCTATCATCATACATCTTACAACTACCTTAAAGCTGACAGGGACTCTTTCCATGATTTTCTTCGTGATGGCTCCTGGGTAGAAATCTTTCCTCTTCCTGTTGACAAATGTGTTTCTTACATAACTTTGTGGATTCAGGCTGGCATGGAATCCTTTATTCCCTCTCGACAATTCCAGGTCAAGCCTCACTCTTCATGGTTTTCCTCACATTGTGCTGCTGCAATTGCCAATCGAAACCATTACTTCCATATATATCAGCAAAACAATTCTCCAGAAAACAGATGTCTGTTTATTACTGCTAGGAACCATTGTAAAAAGGTTTTGTCTAACGCCAAATCCCGCTATTCTCAGATCATGAAATCTCGTATTTTATCTCAAAAATTAGGCTCACATGACTTCTGGAGAATCTTTAATAGTATCAATAATAAGGGCAAGTCTGTAATTCCACCTCTTTTGTATGGTTCAGACTTTGTCACCTCCACTAAAGACAAAGCTGAATTGTTTGCCAAGAACTTTTCATCAATATCATCTCTTGATTCCACTAGTTGCGTTCTACCCGATATAGCCGTCAAACAAGTTGATCCATTGCTCGACATCTGTATCACTCCAGCTTCTGTATCTAAAGTGATTTCCTGCTAAGACTCTTCTACAGCTTGCGGCCCGGACAACATACCCGTTATAGTCTTGCAGAAGTGTTCTCCGGAGCTGTCGTCTATCCTTTCAAAACTATTTAACAAGTGCTTATCAGAGTCTTGTTTTCCAGCCTGCTGGAAAGCAGCATCTGTTATCCCTATTTTTAAAAATTCTGGAGAGCAATCCGATTCGTCTAACTACCATCCCATTAGTCTTCTTCCTATCATAAGCAAGGTTTTTGAATCTTTAATTAACAAACACTTAATCTCTCTAAAAATAATGTAAAACAAATTTGTGATGCTATTTTGTTTTGATTTATACAGTTGATAAAATAAAACGCGTTTAAAATAAAAGAAAGCAAATAAATAAAATTGAGCTAGTTAATAAACTAAAACAAAAGTTTATATTTGTGCCTATAGACCTATACGAGTTTTTAATCTATAGACCAAACGAGTAAGATCAAAGCATAAAAACATTAAATACCACGTCTTTTATAAATTATCATTTCCTGATCGAGCGTACTAATAAAAATTTAAGTTTAATTAAGTCTTTTATTCAAAAGGTTTTTTAACTGATATTTTCATTCAATTTTTTTTTATTATAATTGTTTTCCAAAAAAACTGAAACAAAAAATTTTGTTTAATAAATCGAATTATATTAAGTATAAGAATATGCTTAAATTGTTTTTTTAGAAAAAAAATTTTTTGAACAGAAGTAAAATAATTTATTAAAATTAATTTAAAATTTTTATAATTTTTATTCTAACTTGCAATTTGCAATCATTGCTTTGATTTTGCTTTGAATTTGAAATCATTGCAATAGAAAGTTTCTACTTTTAAAACTATTTTCAAGAAAAAATATATAATTCAAAACGTTAACAAAATTTACGATTTGCAAAAAAAACTGGTTGTTTTGATTTAGGTTATAAGTTAATTTACTGTAATAAACTCTATCCATTCAGTAAAGTTAACTAAATATAACTTCAACAGTTTCAAGGTCGTTAAAAGCGAAAAACGTGAAAGCAAAAAAGTTGCTGGTTTCTATTAGTGCAATTTTACTAATAGAAATTTTATTTAATAAAAAAGAATTAATATATATTTTATTATACTTAAAGTAGTAAAAATAATTATATAAAATTGTTTAAAAAATAATAATTTAATTCATTATTAATAAGTTAATTTGGAGCCACGTTTTTTTAAAAAAAAGATAAAAATGCTGTTTTGTTAGAATGAAGAAAAAATTATTTTTAACTTTTGTCTTTTTAGTTTGCTACTATGCAGAGATTTAAAGTAATTTAAATTAAAAAGTGCTTTACGTTAATAAAAATCTCCGCGCGAAATAGCAAATGATCATGCTTCTATTCAAAAGACAAACTTTGTGTGACGTACTTTACTATGAAAACATTACTTTTTAAGAATTGCCAAAAAAAAAAGTCTAATTTAAAAAAATATTAAACAAACAACTATAAAAGTAAACCAATTGAGAAATTATATGTTTTAAGAAAAAAAAATTTCCTCTTAATTTAAGCTGAATACTACACAAAAATTTTCGATGTATAAAGTAGGTTTTTGTGCTTGTAGAATTTTTATTTAAGCTTTGTAATGTTATATTTATTTGTAATTTAGAGAGTTATGATGTAACAATATACTATCAAATGGTTTAAAACTGCATAATAACTCTCAAATTAAAATTAGAATTAAAAAATAACATTCAAAAAAATGTTTGAATTTTATTCATAAACATGTAGCAAATTCAAATTTTTAGAAAACCATATTGATGTTTTTTTCATTACTTTTGTACAAATATGCATCACTTTATGACCCACAAACATGGGGCACAAAAAAGTTATAACCCTAATATATATATATATATATATATATATATATATATATATATATATATATATATATATATATATATATATATATATATATATATACATATATATATATATATATATATATATATATATATATATATATATATATATATATATATATATATATATATATATATATATATATATATATATATATATATATATGAATACATGCCTCGGCGGGATTAAACGAGCACAAGAGCGGAAAAAAGCTCTCCTAAAATGAACTTGGAGAGCTGTGCGAGCTGCTCCTCAATTAAAGCAGCGCTCTTTTTTTATTTTAATTTTTTTTTGCAACAATCCTGGTTTTTAAAAAGCATTACAGTATATATCTTATACTGTTGATTTAGGTGGGAGGTGTGATGTCGTGAAATAGCCTGAAATAGCCTGCTGCCAGAGGCTTCAGTATATACATTGACTGACAAATAACCTGACTCGCAGTGGAGTGCTGATACATAGCCTAAGGGTTTTGGGATGGGTCAGCAACCTTTTCATTCATTGTTCTTCGTTTTCCCTTTTCTTTTTTTAAAAAACCTATATCAATT